GATGCAATCAGCTGGTTTTCCTTAGATAGAAAACTTTGAATCAATTTGACTGGATGATCTGGTTGAATTAAAAAGTGTCTTGAGATGACATGTGTTGTAAATTGCCGCTATATAAATAAACTGAATTGAATTGAAATAGTGAAATGATGCTGCGTGTTCAATTAAAATAACTCTGACCCTTGACCTGCTCAGTAGTTAGCACATGCTAAGCCTATCTATGTTCAAAGAATTGGTCATATGGACTGACACAGCAACATTTCGTTTAATTATTTTTTTTAAATCTTCATTGTTTTTAGCCATTTTTATTTGATTTGGGATGTTTGTAAAAGGTTAAATAAAAAGGCTTTATAAAACGACTATACCTGTTTTAATGACTAAATAATTCAGACACATACAAACATACATCTCTAAATACAATCAATATCTTAGAAAGGGTGATATTGAAGTATATGGCTCCATCTCATAAGAAAAATGAGAATAACCAAGAATATCATTACGAAAATAGACATATCACAAGTATCTAACTAACTGTTAATCATTCATTATATTTTATTTAAATCAACTGGCCTCATAAGCATTTTATGAGATTTTTATTATTTTCCTTTTCTTAGTTTATATAAATTCTAAATAAAAAGGGACTACATTATTTTAAGACCAGAGAGTATTCCCAATATGAATGTACAATGCACCTTTGATGATGTTGTTGTCAATCTGCCTCCAACAAGTAAAGCTTGAAAAATTGGTGCTTAAAGGAGTTTATTGGTGTAAAGGTTTTTCCATATAACTACTATAAATAAAATCTGTTTGTAATTTTTTAAGTATGTAACAATTTTGCTTTGTTGTGGGATATTAAATAATCTCTTTTCAAGTCATAAGTCATCTTAACAATATGTTTTACTTTGATATATGCAGCCAGAATTATATGAAACTATTTACATAAACTTATTTTTCGCATGATTTAAAAAAAAAAAGGCAGATTTGTTCGTAAACTCTATAAAGAAATCACCATAGAAATGATAATTTCATTGTTTAAAACTACATCAATCAATCCTAGGAACATTTTTTATGTATTTTTTCTTAACATTTTCAGCCCTTAAATATTTTTTATTCAAAGGGACACTCCATTTCATGGTCTAAAAAAATAACAAAATATTTAATTTTAATGCTGAATTATTATAATCTGATCATAAGATCTTTACAGGAAATGGAAAAGGAAAAATGGATGGCATTTCTTTTGTGTGGGTAACGTAAAATCATCAGGTTATACAGCCTTTACCTAATTAATTGATCATTAAAATCGAGCCGTACAATAGTCTAAATAAAAAATGACGAGGTTCTTAGATTTACCTTTTTATTTATTTTTTTAAGCAGAATAAAAATGGTGAAAAGTTTAATCCAAATATAACAAATATACTATTTCAGATTATAAATTAATCTTTTCACACCACAGCTTAATATTAGTACTCTAAACATATTTTAAACTAAACTAACTGGACTGGGTCAAACCACTAATTTAAACAAAGGCTGGACGGGTTTATATTCTATGGAGGGAAGGGATTCTACTCCATATTCAGAGACAATTGACGTTTTTATATGGTCAAATGTTTTTTCTGTAAATAAACATGCGTATGAAAGTAGTGTAAATTGATTTAAAGTACCTCTTGCTCCATAGCTGGCTCCCTTTGGTCTATCTCTGTGTCTCCGTGGGCTCTGTCCATCAGGGGGGGTTGGTCAGGAAATCCCTGAAGCAGAGGAGCTGATTCCCGTTGGACCAGCCATGTCTCCAGCTCTGCCTGAGGAACCTGTGAATAAAGGAAGCGTCTTACAAAAACAGACAATATGAACTTTGAATTGTATATAGTTTTACTGTCTCGCTGAGATTTATGATCTTAACAGATTTTAAGATATTTATAGCTTCGAGAGGCGCTGCTATAGGCTTAGACTGCTGGAGGACATAGGGACCCCTTTTTCATCATTCTGCTTCATTCTATCTCTATTCTAGCCTCGTGAGACCATCCTTAGTTCAATCTCTAACGTTCTGCTCTCTCTGCTTTTTCTCATAGTAGCTTCATCTGGTCTGTTCCTGTTTGGCTGTGACTCCATCCTGGAGAGAAATATCAGCTGTGCTGCTGCCATCAACACCTTTGTTTCTAGATGTTGGAGCTTGGCCTGTTTTCCAGTGTAGTCCTGTTTCTCTCTTAGAGATAGTTATGGGCTCAGCTTGTGATAAACTGTATCTGCTCTGTTTTTTATCCTTTTTCATATGAAAGCTGTCTCAGAGCTAATCTGCTTAAATGTTTCTATCCTAAACTTAGGGACCTATGGAGCTACTTTATGGTTACCCATGAACTGGGCTGTCAGTTTAGGTGAATAGAGTTGTTCTCCCAGTCCATACTGGTTTTAAACTAACTTCACTGTAAACACTGACCCCGGTCTTTCAGTTTTTGTTTTGCATGAGCCTAAGTGAGTCCTGGATTAACCAAAAGTGAGACTAGAATCAATGGGAACCAGACCTTTGCTCAGTTTTCTGAAAACATTTTGACATTTATTTTTAACAATCCGTCCCCGTTGAGGATTGACCTCCAGGATTTCAAAAACATAACCACTCCTGCTGCATGTTACTCCATTTCTGTACTGGGAAACCAATCAATGCAATGAGATCATTCACTTCTGTCACATATGAAGTCAGAATTTTGCCAAAACATTGTTGATGAAAGTTTGATTTAATTCAAAAGCCCCAAATTATTCTCTTGATTCAGCCATTAAAAGCTTCATATTAATATGCCATTAATGCCAATAATAAGAGGAGGTAAAGTTCTGACTGGTATGAGGTTTATATGTGAAGGAGTTTTACAACCTCTGAAATGTTGAATGAAAAATAGTGTGGAGTTTTATTTCCTCTAAAGCCATAATAGAAGATGATATGGGTCCGGTAAAGGAACCCTGTTCCAGTAAACCTCACATCACCCGGTTTCTAAAGGTTGAATTAATCATCAGGACCTTTGGATGCAGGGGGCGCTCCTAAAAACCTTCTATGACTGACTGTTGTGGTATCAGCCATCTTCTATGAAGTGTCTGTTGGAGCAGTGGCTCATCTGTAGCTGAGATAAAGCAGCTGGATCAGCTGATCAGGAAGTCCAGCTCTGTGATTGGATGGCCTCTGGACTCAGTGCAGGAGGTGGGAAACGGACGAATCCTAACTAAATGAACATCTCTGTTGGATAATGTCTCCCCCCCCATGCATGAAGCTGGTGCTGAACTGGACAGCTCCTTCAGTGACAGACTGCTGCACCTTAAATGCACCAGGTAGCGTTATCACAGATCCTTCCTCCCAGCAGCTGGAAGACTCTAGAACCACCACTGTTCCCAACAACCTCAATCAGTTCTTCCATTCATGATGATTTTGAACAGTTTCTACCTTAGTCAGTTAAATAACCTGCTAATGTCATTTTGCACGTCTCTGATGTTGCTGCTATTTTCAAATATACAGAGCATTTATATGTTAAAAACATTGTACAGTACTTATTTGTTTATTTTCTTAACTGTTACTTATTTTACTTCTGTTATTTTTATACCACATCTGCTATAAGATTTTGCTGCTGTAACGCCACAATTTCCCCATTGTGGGAGAATAAAAGTGATTTTCTGTTTCCATTTTGTTTAATCCTAAATGTATCTGAAAGCTTTGGGGTCAGTTTTCCTACCTGTATCCTGTCCAGAGAGTGAACCCAGCCTAACAGGCGGCGTGCCGTAAAGAAACGCTCCAGATCCACATTCTTGGGATGCAGAGTGTTCTGGTTGTGGGACGGGGTTTGGGTCGGTGCAGAGTTCTGACCCAGAATCATATCACACCAGGAACGAGGCAGGAAAGGCTCCAGCCCCACGTCCACTCTGATTCCACAAAGACTTAACAGGATGGTCATCTGAATCAGCTCCTCTGGGAAGTATTTCTTTAGGGGCAACATAGTTTGGATTGTTCTTTACAAACCAAAGGTTTCTTAAGGTTTAATTTTTCTCCTCTTGGATGATGGTTGGAGTCCTTCCAAGTCCTGGTAGGTGCTCTGTTAAAAGATTTCTGTGTGGATCGATTAAAATCATTTGCAAAGGGTCATTTTTGCTTGATGAGAGGGATCAACGGTCATTTTTCTTGAAGCGTTATGGCAGGTTATCAGGACAACATGCTGAGAAATAACAGAAAAGAAAGAAAACGTTAATTCATTTCTACATGAAATAGATTTTTTTCTCTGAAAAACAAAAGGAAAAGTCCCGACCAAATGACCAAAGATGTGTCTTTCAATGGTTTATTGCAGGGGTCCCCAAACTTTTTCCTGTGAGGGCCACATAACTTTTCCCTTCTCTAATGGGGGGCCGGGGTCAGTTTGTAACAGAAAAACTGTGACGATTAAAGAGTGCCTAAATTTATGACGGGATTTATGTCTTTATGACGGGAGTCATAGTGTCTCAGCAGGTTATATTCTTTGAATACCGCCACTGCCTCTGAACAGATGAGACAGACAGACTTTTCTTTACATTGTCCAATTCAGGTTAAATGCCCTGCATTCTGAATACATTTTTCTCTGGCCTTATCTTTTCGCCATTATTCCGTTCCCTCTTTATGGAAGAGGATTAGGGCCATTCA